AGTCAAGGATGGAAGGTGAAACGTTTCAGCACAAAAAAAAATAATAATAAAAAAAAATAAATAAATAAAAACAACTGTCCAGATGACCTGACTGAAAATTGTTGGATTTGAGGTCATTAAAAATGATCCGTTCTTCATCAGGTTTAAAAATTATTCTAATCTAAGCTCAACCGAACAAAAGCAACAAAGTCCTCCGTGTCGTTGTTGATTAAAAACAAAAAGCTGTGTGTGGATCCAGCAGCTTGTAGAACCTCCTTTAGCAGCTGTAGCTCGTGTCTCTCGTGGTTGTGGAGGAATTTTGGCCCGCTCTTCTTTGCAGCGTTGCTTCGGTTCATTGGTTTCTACTCGGCTCTCTGAAAGGCTCATCACGTTTCGGTCAGGTTGAGGTTCTGGACTTTGACTGGACCAGTGCAGCACCTCGAGTCTTTTCTTTTTGACCCGTTCTGTTGTAGATCAGGTCATTGTCCTGTTGGACCCAGTAAGGTCCAAGCTTCAGCTGTGGGACAGATGGACTCACATTTGACTGCAGAAACTTTTGGTCTACAGAGTTCATGGTAGTGAATGCAAGGAGCCCAAACTATCATTCCTCCACCTCCGTGCTGACAGCTGGGAAGAGGTGTGCATTCTGGGTAGTCATCCGTACTTGGGTCTGGTTTTGTAATTCCTTCAGATGAAACTTTACAAACCTAAGATGTGCTGTCGTGTTGTTTTAAAAAGAAGAGCCTCTCAGAAAACTTCCAAACAAGTCATGACCTTTGACCTTGAACCTGCTAACGGAGGCCTGTAGAGTCTGAAATGGAGCTCATGTCTGAGCATTACACAGTCTGACCTTTGGGGTGAATTTGTTGGCAAGTCTATGCTTCTGAATTTTGGCAAATGCCTCAAATATTTCCCACTTGTAAATAATTTTTCTCTGTAGAACGATGGACTCCAAATTGTTTAGAAATGACCTTTGACCCTTCCCAGCAACAGCTGCTTCCCTCGGTCATTGCTGATGTCTTTCCTCCTCGACACTGTGTTAACACACAGCTGTAGGCTCCAAAGTACAAAACATCTGCTACCAGCAGCACCTGGGTGATACTTTGTCTTAAATCCTCCAGAAGCTCAAAAGGACAACGTAGTTTTTCTCACAGCTTTTCCACTTCGTCTTAGTTTACTAAATACTGAAATAAAGGATTGTTTAGTACACTTGAGGGTAGACTGGATTATTAGAACCTGTAAACACAAAGTTAGTTTTTACAGCCCATATTTGTTAAACATTACATTTGCATGTGGGTGGATTTATTTTTGATGATCTTAGAGATTTTTTGCTAATAATCACGAAAAAACTGACGCAACGAACAACTTTGAACATCCTGAAACTCAATTTAAATTGTGAATGTATTTTGTCACAATTCTGCTGCGTCTTAAAGAAACACAGCAAACGAAGTATTTCCTCAAGCCGGCGTTGTCCAGACCCGACCTTGAGAAACTAGTCCACGCCTTTGTCACGACCCGACTGGACTACTGCAACGCACTGTAAGCTGGGATCAGCCAGACCTCCACCTCACGTCTTCAGCTCGTCCAGAATGCTGCTGCTCGGCTTTTAACCGGAACTCGTAGGTCTGAACACATTACTCCAGTTCTGTCCTCCCTTCACTGGCTCCCTGTTCGTACGAGGATAGTCTTTAAAACTCTTCTGTTGACCTTCAAAGGTCTAAATGTCCTCGCACCTCTTCACCTCTCTGAGCTTCTAGAACCTTACGTTCCCTCTCGGGCCCTGAGATCATCGATCAGCTGCTTTTGGCCGTTCCAAAAACAAGAAGCTCAGAGGAGATCGGGCTTTTTCAGTCATGGCCCCCAAACTCTGGAACAACCTGCCCCCCAACATTAGGCAGGCCACCTCCCTTCAACCTAAAAAGTGGCCGAAGCTCGCTGTGGTTTTAGCTCTTTAGCATAGCATTTGTCACACAAAGCTTTTAAAAAAATAAAAACAAACAGTAAACAAGTTCTCAGCTTCTTTTCGCAGAAAAAAAAACAACTTTTTACACGAAGGCACGGGTTTCAACCGTGAATTTTGGCGCTTCAACAAGACAGAGGTTTTTTTCCCCCGAGGTCGGCCTGTTAGCTTAGCTCGTAGCTTAGCTTCTCAGCTTAGCTGCTTTTAACCATCCCAAAATCATGCGATTAATTGATTTATTGTTTATCGCGACTGGTCTACGAGATAGTTGATGTCGAGCTGACGTTTGTCTCCTGCATGTGCAGTAAATCACTCTTATCTTAACTAAGAGGCAGCCTGAACAAGAAGTGTGGGAACTCTCGGGAAAATGTTTTGGTCGGTCTTATGTTTATGAGGATCCACTACTTCAACTTGCTTCCTGCACAAAAATGCAATTAAACAAATTGTCCGTAGATCCAGTTTGACACCAGAACCCCAAACATCCAGTCTGTGCACGTCGACAGAGAGGAAGAACCGGATTAATTCAAACACAGACGCCCTTTTTCTGTTGCGGTCTCGCTTTCTCCAAACACGCTGGACGTTCTGTTCTTTCACGGCGACAAACCGCCTCAAGATGGCACAACACCGAGCTCCTCGAGATGCGGCTCCCTGACGTCACATCAACCTGATAATTTACTGTTCGGTTCGTTTTTCAAAACGGAGCTGGAGACGAGTTTCATCATCTTATGACCCCGAGTGCGTCATCGCTGACCAGAAGGTGGTTTTAAACACAGGGAAATAAAAACACTCACATTTCCTCTCGGCTTTTTCTCAAAACTGAACAGTTTCATAAGAAACATTACAATCCAAACCAGTCAGCTGGGAATTTCCAACAGACTGGTTTGCATTTATTTGGTACAGCAGAACCCAACACAAAACAGCAGCCCTGCAGTGTTTATATTCTTTTACCTCTCCTGGGATAACCCGACCAGACTGCGACCGTCGACACTCAACAGCTGGTCGCCTGCTGCCAAACGACCGTCCTGCACGAACAAACATCCCAGTCAGTCACCGTGAGACCCCCCTGCACCGATTTCTCTCCGAGAAATAAAACTCACCATATCAGCTGCTCCACCTTTGACAACAGATTTGATGTAGATGCCCAGCTTCTCCTGACCAGCACCCTGCAGAGATGAGGGAAAAAGACAACAACTAACGTCTCAATTCTAATGCACATTAAAGAACTACTTTATGAGAGTTTCAATAAAATCCACGCTTCAGGAAACTGCATGGTCATCCATCTTTCATGGTCGAGAGGCAGAATTACGTTCAATACTAAAATCCTTTTGTCATCACCAAATAAACAACCTGAGGCATCAGATGTGAACCAGAAACAACCTGAAACAAAGTCGGTTCTTTGTCTCTCCGTGTTCTGCAGGACTGGACTCAGGAACTTTTGTTCCTCTGAAGATATTCACCGTGTGTGACGGCGTGTTTGGACCACTGCTGCTCGATAAATCTGAGAACATCACAACTTCACTTGCAGCGTGGCAAAGAGGAATGTAAACATCTGGTGGGTTTTTCCACTGGTCTGTCCTGTTGTCTCTTTTAAGACTTTTATTCTAACAAGAACATCTAAAGGAAAAGGTACAATCTACAGCAGGGGTCTGCGGCTCTGGGGCCACATGCGGCGGCTCTTTCAGGCTTTGACCAAAACTTTAAAAAATGAATTTTATTTAAATTATTACAAACAATAACAATGGCTAGTTTTAGCAGATTTCCTGTCATTTTCAAATATGTGAAGAATAGTACAAATACAAAGTGTAAAACGTGGACGACATCATGCTAGTAGTTTGTTAGCCACTTTAAGGCGACTTCCAGTCTCGCAGCGTGATCTTTCTCTCAAAACCACCAGAATGTTTTGGAATATCTTTAAGAGAAGCTGCTGAGAAGGAATATGGTGATAACACCAAGAATAAAACACAGAAAACAAAGTCAAAGTAAACAAAAAGTATTTATTTTTCTTTAAAAATGTATATCCTGATCTTATCTGAAACTTGATGCTTTAAGAAAGATACTTCAAGAACAAAGAGAAGTGTTCAGAGTTTTAATTTTTATAAAATTGTTAAAAATTATATAGGTTTTTTTCTGTCTTTGTGCAAATCTGGTCTTTTCTTTTGTATTAAAATATAAAAATATCAATAACTGTTAATAGCACTTAGACGTTTTTCATTTTCTAATATCACCCCCACTGGCCAGAAAAGCCATCTTGAACAAAGCTGTAGTGGTCCACTGGCCACCAGTTGACAGTGCACAGCTGTAGCAGGTTTTGCCGCTCCGGACTTCGTAATATTTAGTAAACAAAGTGGCAAAAATGACTCTTTTTATCAGAAAGGTTGCCGACCCCTGACGTAAAAGAAGTGTTTAAGATTAAAGACGAACAAAGACGAATCGGTCCAGAGGACCAGACTCAACCTCGTTAGATAATCTAAAAGAGTTTGTACCGGTCCAAACAGAAAAACGCACATTTATGTGAACGTGAGCGTTGAAACTGAACAGAACCAGACTGCAAAAGTGTCATTTCCTGAAAGGCGAGCTCCTTCAGAGTAAAACATTTCCACGACGTGTCGCATTAAAATGTTTCAACGCTTCCTCAAAGCACACCCGTCTTGGTCCATTTACTTTTTATGCTGCAATTCTGCCAACTATGCAAAGTTTCTGCTCACAGGAATGAGCAGATTCATTTTATCTCATATTTACTCAAACCCTGTTTTTACAAAACCACATGGAGGCGATAAAAAGGAGGTCACACATGCTGCATCGTCTGCGTCAAAGAGTTCAACATCTCAACGTGTCTGTGGACGTCCTGACAACTCAAGAGGAGCAGGAAATGGTTGGTACCATATTTTTCGGCCCATAAGTAAAGTTTTTTTGCATAATGTGCATGACTTATACACCGAAGCGACATATTTATGGATTTTTCCCGTATTTATAAACTATTTTTGGCTGAAATATGACCGTTTTCATTCACTCTGAAAATAATGAACACTAACATTTACAGCTGCTAGATGGCACTCGGGTAGTATGGCATGCCGTTGTGTCATGTAATAGGTAAAAGTGGCTTTTACTGACACAATCGGCTTGCCACAGACTTCCACCTTCATCAGCTCGCATGGAGCAAAATCAGCTTCATTTCACTGCGCCGCCCCGGAAACTGAAGCTGATTTGACCAATCAAGTGCATTTATTAACGTTGAGCAAACAACTAATTGTTTTAGGTAGTTATCTTGTTAAATTTTCAAGAAATGCACAGCGTTCCTCCTTCCTGATTTCCTCCCTCAGAGCGCTCTCCCGGAGCACCGAGGCAGCGGATACTTTTGAAATGCAGCTGATTTGACCGTCAAAGTGCATTTATTAAGGAAAGGTTAGACTGAGGCACACCTTTATTATAATTTCAAGCAAACAAATAATTGTTTTTAAGTGTTAATCTTCTTAAATTCTTGTTAAAGTCCTCCCGCGCACGCTCCAGCGGCCGCCATTTGGCACAAAGCATTTTGAACCAACTATTTCTTCGTTTGTTCCAGGTACAACTTAATCTACAAGAAGCTCGTTATGCAGTGAACGTACGTTAAGACCGGCGTGTTTTCCCTTCGGACTGCACGCTCGGAGTTATGCGACGTTTTTCTCCTCAGCCAATTTGAGTCAGAAACTGGCACCGACTTCAAACCCACAGAATCGACCTCCCCCTGATTTACGGCCGACAGAAAACGCTGCTAATGCGAGCTCAAAATTACAGCCTGCAATGTTAAAAAGCATGACAACCTGCTTTCTGCAGCCTTTCTGAGGTTATAAAACCACTGACCCATGAGAGGTCATTTAAAAGCTGGCAGAGTGCAATGACCCGGTGCACCTGCACAGGTACCTCCTGCCATTTTACAGCTCCGACTTCTGTGACTGATGCTGGACAGAAAAAAAAAAAAAAACGGTTCAAAATCCTCTGATTGTTCAGTAAATTAAAAAAAAAACACACTTCAGAGAGTTTTATTGAAATCAAAAAGTGAGAATGTGTCTGACCAGCCTAAAACCCTGGAGTCCTGCTTCAGTTCTGAACTGAGAGATTTGTTTTAACAGAACTTTGAGCGTCGATATCATTTTCCAGCTGAAGTTTTTATGGCTCAGGGGTAAAACTTAAATTAGTAAGATGTTTGGTTTAAACAATGTTTTCCTGCTAAGGTGCAAGTAAACTTTAGAGAAGTGGGGCTTTATCCAGAAAACCCAAACATGAAGTCAGTTTCTGAGGTCCACAGGGACCTCCATCCTTTACATGGATTGTAAAGGACGGATGATCCGTGAGAAATGCACGAGTCAGATAAAGATTCAAAAAGGAAACAGATGTGACCTCTACAGGAAGTGAACTTCTCTCATTCATCAGTAAAAAAAAAAAAACAAGTTGGTGAAGTAATTTAACACAATAATAGATCATAGTTCAGATGGTTCTTCAGAAAAAGGCCATTTAAATTGATCCAAAGAACAATTTATTTAAAAAATACTCCACAAGGAGGCTCCGTTCTTCAGAGCTGATCTGTTGCTGCTAAAATAAAAAGTTGGAACATTAATAAAGATTTTTTTTTAATTATCTTAAAAAGGCATAATAATCCCTCAAATACTCCAAATTGTAAGAAACAGCAAGATGTGGTAATCAAGTCCAGTAGTGCCTCACGACTCGCTCATATGAGTTTTTTCAACGATTGCCAACTTTGATATTACTCAAGTGATTGAGACGGTACAGATAAAAAGTTAACAAAAAAAAAAAAAACTTCAAAACAGGCGCCGCCATTTTGTAGTTTTCTTTCAATAGCCAGCCAAAAGAACTACACTACCCAGAAGCCAACAGTGCTTCCAGCCGCTGCTTTCTGCTGAAATAGAGGGAACGTCTTGCAACACAAAGTCAGAAGTAACGATCGATCTATTAAACTCTCAGAACTGGCAGGAAAGTCACAAATAATCCTGAAGCTCAACTGTCCACGTGCACATGGACCTGGACGGGGTGGTGGGCTTCGACGCTGCAGGACCAGAACCGAGCCCGACGGGAACCGAGCTGCTGTTCTGCAGAGCTGGTGAGTAAAGGTTTGCAGTACTGTACAGTACATATACGTATGTTGTTAAAATAAGGGCGGGTTGAGAGTTTAGAACATTGCAAGAATGTGGGAAGGTTTTGTAAAGCCTTAAAATATATATAAATACTAAAATAAATATAATGTTCCTACTTCACGGTTGTTCACCGACCGTGGTGGTGTACATAACCTCCACGATTATCGAGGGATTACTGTACTCATTTTATATAAATTTCTCTACTAAAAAAAATAATAAAAACAAAATAAAAAAGTTGTAATTTATGTAAGTTTTGCACAAATAAAATCAGGATGTTCAGCGGTTCAACAAACTGCGTCACCTTGTGTTCAGTTTTAAAACTTAAAGGGTTAAAATTCAAATTTCTTGCCAGGAGTTGAGGAAACGCACAAAAAAACAAAAGTATTTACAGTAGTCCCTCGTTTGTCGAGGGGGATCCGTACCCTGAAGACCCGCGATAGGTGGAATAAACGCAAAGTAAGAATAGTAGTACAAGTAGTAATTAACAGTTTATTTTAGTATATATATATATATATATATATATATATATATATATATATATATATATATAGAGGTGTTTTAAATCCTTCCCACACTTGTGCAATATTCTAAACAATGTTTCTAAACGCTCTAAAAGACACAGAACGTCATGATTTCAGCTCCCTGCCTCCTCTGTTCTTTGTCGCCTGCGAGCGCTCTTGGCCACGCCCACTTCTCCGCTCTGCACGGTGAACAGCTGATCAGCTGCAGCAGGAAGTTTATCCTGCAATAAGGGCTGCACAAAGCTGCAGGAAGAAGCTTTTTTGCATCTCTGGGCTGCACAAATGTGCAGCAGGCGCTAAATAATTTGAAATAATTTATTTTAAATAAAAATTCCATGCTGATCATGAGGCTCATCCATCAATCTGCCAATCGTGTGTCATGTCCAGTGTTATTTTGAAAAACCACAATAGAGCGAGTCCGCGATAAACGAACCGCAAAGCAGCGAGGGACTAGAGTATTGTGAAAAATGTGCACGCTGTGGTTTAGCTCTAAACGACTCCAGAGACAAAAAG